CTGATTTGGGTTCCGCCCAGTGCGCAATAACCAAGGTGGACCCAGAGACGGCGGATGGGAGAGTCAAGAAGGGCAGCATCCCCGTAGCATGACCCAGGGCCCAGAAAATGAGCGCGGGTTGGACGAAGGCCTCAATTCCCGTGGGATGTCCCAACAGCGGCGTACTCATGACGACGCTGGGTCAACGCGTCCGAGTGGCTCTCGTCCGAGAGGAGTCATTCAATGGAACGAGGGCGACGTTCGCAATCACAATGACTACGATGTGGATATGAACATGTATGACAAAGATGGGCACGACGCTTTCATGGACAAGTATCAGGCAACTAGGTTCGACCCTTCTTTTTCCATGCAGGATCACCATCACCGACCACCACCCCAGTTCTCGAATTTCCAATATTATGGCCACCATCCACGACAGTATGCACCATCTGACTTTGGTGGAAGAGGCCGTGGCGTCCGCCCCCAATATCGAGGACATGCTCGTCCGTATGACTCTAATGGCTACTATGGCCGAGGAAACGAAGGATTCGCTGGGTATGGCACTCGCGGGGTTGGACGGGGGCATTCAGAGGCTGGCGATGAAGAGCGACTCACAGAGGGTGGTGTGTTACGTCGACGACAACCTAGTGAGGGCCGGGGTTTCTGAAACATCGTCAACGGAGGAGGAGAATTGATGGTCAGGCGGACATCGGGAGTTGGTGCACATTCATGTGGATGTTTCTGTCATGCAGGTTCGTTTGGGGGACTTAGAATTACTACACTACCTAGTACATAGGGTTTTGTGGTACTTAGTACTCTTCGGTGCTGGTCACAGGATATATTGGTAGTTAGGATCATGTAGACCTTGTGGTTTCACTGTTGTGGATCAAGGGCGTCTCAACTTTGGTATGCTGTGCAGACTTGGTTGAATTATCAATGTGCCATGCTAATACTTGTGCTATGCTGCTTGGACTTGGAAAAATTTAAGACGTACAATACTGATGGTATCACTGTTATTTGGTATACAGATTGGAATGGAGTTTGGTATGGAATGGTATGACTTTGGAATCCATGTACAATATGGTATGAGTGTCTGGAATGGTTACCATACCATATGGTATGATTGTCTGGAATGGCTACCATACCATGCGGTATGATGGTATGGAATGGTATGGCTTTGGAATCCACATACCATACCATATGGTATGATTGTCTGGAATGGTTACCATACCATGTGGTATGATGGTATGGAATGGTATGGCTTTGGAATCCACATACCATACCATATGGTATGATTGTCTGGAATGGTTACCATACCATGTGGTATGATGGTATGGAATGGTATGGCTTTGGAATCCACATACCATACCATATGGTATGATTGTCTGGAATGGTTACCATACCATGTGGTATGATGGTATGGAATGGTATGGCTTTGGAATCCACATACCATACCATATGGTATGATTGTCTGGAATGGCTACCATACCATATGGTATTATTCTGAAAGGCAGATACCATACCTTTGGAATCCACATACCATACCATATGGTATGATTGTCTGGAATGGCTACCATACCATATGGTATTATTCTGAAAGGCAGATACCATACCAGTGGTATGATTTGGGAAGGCCGTACCATGTGATATGATTGTCTGGAGGTATGACTTTGATTTGGTTCAATGACAACAGCTCCAGCACTTATTGATATACACATGTCCAGCTTGCAAATACCGTTGGTAGCATGCAGACTGGATGTAGTTTGGCACAGCAGCTTTTCACCATTGAATTCACTAACACTTCCTTTGTCCTTTACCACATGTTCCCCACTCAGCCTTACCCCACTTCTAATCCATAACTTGACTTATCCATATCAGCTGAAAATTCTCTGCTTACCTTTTTCACCAACACCCTGCTTTTCTTTACCATGTTTTCCACTCAATGTTACCCCACTTCTAATCCATAACTTGATTTATCTATATCAGCCAACAGCCTGAAATTCCCTCAATTTATCACCAACTTATCTTTACAATTTTCCCCACTCAACCTTACCCCACTTCCAATCTATGACTTGGCTTATCTATATCAGCTGAAAATCCTCTGCTTACCTTTTTCACCAACACCACGCTTTTCTTTACCATGTTCCTCACTCAACCTTACCTCACTTCTAATCCACTCAACCTTACCCCACTTCTAATCCATAACTTGACTTGGTATCATGCATAGTTCAGGACTGATTGCCAATACACAAAATGTCTTCTTTTCTTTGCTTCTCAAATACCACACCATCACAATACTGCATCTATTGTGATGATTATTGTTCTAATTGAATGGACTGGGAAAGATATGTATCAATAAAAGGCTTTTGATGCATGGAAAAAGCTGGGATAAAGCTCATTTGAACTGATTTTCCAAGGATGGATTTGACTATAGCCTCCTTTTGTATTTTAATATCTCAGGAAAAACCTGAAGAACCCTCCCACAAAAAATGGCACCCAACAGACCAGTATTGCAGCCTGCAGAAATAATTTATATATTTTGAAAAAGGACCCCAGACACCCTGTGCAGCTTTGGTATGATGGTATGGTATGAGATCATTTGGCAGGTGAGACAAGGCTGGATTTGAAGGCCGAAATATGTACCACTGTATTCATTAGTATTTGTAAAATATTGGAAGGAATATAAACGCTGATTACATTTGTCACTGGTTTTACACTGTTTCTTTATTGTCCTGCTTTATTTTACATTTTTCTTCAATAGATATTGTTTGTTACCATGGCAACACCACTCAGCTGATGAATATTGTAACGAATAGAATAATGGATAAAGAAGAACAATAAAAAAGCCTTGCATTTCCTTGACCACATTTGGACTTTTGTGACAAATGTAGTCATTGTTTATATTTATTCCAATATTTTACAAATACTAATGAATACGATGGTACATGTTTAGGCCTTCAAATCCAGCCTTTTCTCGCGTGTGGTATGGTATGAGATGACATGGTATGGTATGGTAACATGGTATTGGTATGAGTGGGATATGGTATGGGTTTTCCATTCCATGGTACCATGGTATTAGTATTGAGCTCATATACCACCCTGGAATGGGTACCCTCAAGGTACCTTAAATCAAGGAATTGATGTACTGCATAGATACCCAAAAATGGGTGACAGAAGTGAGGGGAAAACAGATACCAATCCATCTAGAAAAGGGGTAAAAAGTTGGCTGATCCAGAGTCTATGAATTGTCCAGTTTCGTTGGCCAACTGGGTGTATCCATTTGCTCAACTAATTAGCTGAACCATAACTACAATAATGTGAATCCCACCAGCTGACCCCACAAATCAGAATTTAAGGCTGTCGGCTGATCATGAACCCAGGAACATTCAAAACTGTCAGCTGACCTTGCGTAGCTATCATCCATCAACCAATATACCAGCCACTGCTCTCTGGGCTTATTTCCTGCTGATCCAGCTGTGCTAAATTTACGTCGCTGGCTGACCCTTTGCTACCTCAACAGTGGGGATGACATTGGCCAATTCATCAACACCAGGTTATTGTCTCTTATCGGCCCATCAGCAGGCATGATCAACTAAGGCCTGTTTGTATGTTCAGGGCTCTCAGTGTTGGTGGGTGATTCCTACTAACTGCCCTGCCTCCACCTATGCTGACATCTCTTGAACCTTGCTGGAAATCCTGTCCAGATCCATGGTGTGTTGCCAGGGCATTCAGTAGATACGCTATGGAACCATAACAATAGAAATTGACAATTGTCCCAATAAGTCATAGGGCTACCCCAATGGGCCCAATTACAAAAGACATTATGATACTATACATTGGCCCAACAACATGACAATATGTATATTTAATTGTTGGGCCCAACGACGGTGCCACAGTCCAAGCTAAGGGTTTATAGATTGGCCACATGGCTTAAATGGGGGTAATTTTGGCCATTGATATATGACAGTATTAAGGTACCATTGATAGTTGGGCCCAATGAAGGGAAATCATTAAGGGAGATGGTTGGGCCCAATGGCCCAATTATTAAGCTACGGTTGATGGTTCGGCCTAATGTAAGGTATTTATTAAGGGAACGGGTTGGGCCCAATGGTAAAATTTCAATGCTATGGCTTGTAAGTTGGGCCCATGCCATGATATAAGCTATAGTTCATAGGTTAGCCCAATGATTATTTGTATTTTGCGGGTGTGGGCTTTGGTCCAGTAAACCTGCGGGTCCGCTCCTGTTCCATTGGACCCACGGCCGCACAATTGTGCAATTACACCCACAGGTTGGCTATTGTGCAGTTACCCCCATGGGGTAGCTCATGTTCCGTTACCCCTGTGGGTCGCCATGCAGGCCAGATCATGTTCCATTACTCCCACAGATCAACAATTGATCTATTACACCCTCGGGCTGGCTGTTGTTCATTACCCCCACGGGGCAGCTCTTGTTCTGTTAGCCCTGTGGGCCGCCACACAGGCCAGATTATGTTCCGTTACCCCATGGGTCAACAATAGGTCCATTACACCCACAGTATCTTATTCTGTTACACGCACGATGTCCAGCTCTTGTTCCCTTAGACCTGCGGAACCTTCTTCTGTTTGGCCTGCAGGTCTCCAATTACAGCCACAGACCATTTGTGGCTCCCCCGTGGGTCTCCAATTACACCCACAGATTACCTGCTGCTCCGTTACACCTGTGGCCACCCACGGACCAGCAATAGTGCCATTACATCCACGGATGAGCTCTTGTTCCATTACACCCGTGGGTGCTCCGTTACACCTGTGGCCACCCACGGACCAGCAATAGTGCCATTACATCCGCAGATGAGCTCTTGTTCCATTACACCTGTGGGTGCTCCGTTACACCTGTGGCCACCCACGGACCAGCAATAGTGCCATTACATCCGCGGATGAGCTCTTGTTCCATTACACCCATGGGAATCCCCATAGACTGCACCAATGTCCGAATTTTTGGATGTGTTTTTAACAGGGGCCAGACAACCCCCATGGAATGCTCCAATGTCTGAAATTTATACTTCAAGTACCTGAAAATGCAGTCACAAAAACATCCGGATTTGTATTTAACATGCTGAATGTCATTACCCCAAAAATGTGGCTGAAAAAATGTCCGGAGTCATAGTTGACTTGGTCAATGTCACTGCTCCGAAAATGCGGCCGAAAAACCTCTGGATTTGTATTTAACATGCTGAATGTCATTAAACCGAAAATGTGGCCGAAAAAATCTCCGGATTTGTGATTAACTTGGTGAACGTCACTGATCCGAAAATGCGGCAAAAAAACATCCGGATTTGTATTAGTGCAACAATGTCCGAAGTTTTGGATGTAATTTTTACATGGACCAGACAACCCCCCATGGAATGCTCTGAAGTCCGAAATGTTTTAAGTTAATTCCATCCAGATATAATGGTCCCCATAGACTGCACCAATGTCCGAAATTTCGGATGTAATTTTGACAAGGCCAGACAACCCCCATAGAATGCTCCAATGTCCGAAATTTAGTACTTCAAGTACCCGAAAATGCGGCCAAAAAAACATCCGGATCTGTATTTAACATGCTGAATGACATTGCCCCGAAAATACGGCCGAAAAAATGTCCGGATTTGTGATTAACTTGGTGAATGTCACTGATCTGAAAATGCAGCCGAAAAAACATCTGGATTTGTATTAGTGCAACAATGGCCAAAATTTCAGATGTAATTTTGACATGGACCAGACAACCCCCCATGGAATACATTGATGTCCGAAATTCTAGACTACAAAACTTTGTAGTGTCTGCTTTTTAGACTACACAATTTTGTAATGACCAGTTGAACTCAGGCAGAACCCTCTCAATTCTTAACCGATTTGGATGTTCTTGGGCTCGTTTTGACAGATAAACCCGTGGGGTTGTGGGTACAGGTACTCTACAGGTCATGTATGGGCCACTTGTCCGATATTTATAGGTTTTTTAGTGTCCGTGATCATGAATGAGTATATGGGTTCATGGGTCTATGGTTGAAGGAGTGAAAAGGGTGGACATTTTGCCATTGCTGGATCATTGGTTTACTATGTATAAGTATATATATGTTCATGGAGATATGGTTCAAGGAGTGGGAATGACATAGTTCAATCTTAGAACTAAGTGAAATACCGGAATGTCAAATTGTCCATCCTTTTCACTCCTTCAATGATAGTCCCATGAACCTATGTACTTATTCATAGTGAAGGACACTACAAATTATATGTCAGAAAAGTGGACCAGGGGTTGTCTGGCACCTGTCAAAATTACATCTGAAATTTCGGACAGTGTTGTACTAATACAAATCCGGATGTTTTTTTGGCCGCATTTTTGGAGCAGTGACATTTATGCAGTCAACTACAACTCTGGACATTTTTTCGGCCACATTTTCGGGGCAATGACATTCAGCATCTTAAATACAAATCCAGATGTTTTTTCTGGCTACATTTTTGGAGCAGTGACATTAACTAAGTTAATCACAAATCCGGACATTTTCTCGGCCGCATTTTTGGAGCACTGGTATTCTGCATACTAGTGACAAATCCGGACTTTTCTTCAGCCACATATTTGGGGCAGTGACATCCAACATGGCAACCACAAATCCGGACATTTTTTCAGTCACATTTTTGGAGCACTTGCAGTCAGCATGTCAATGCTTTGGGTGATCTCTTGAACGCATGTGGCCCAACATTTGGCCATTCTGTAGATTATACTTTGGGTACCTATGGTACCATTGATTATGGCAATAACCACATCTGCAGAATAGGCATTGGGCCACACATTAATACCATATGCTGTAGACATCCATTGGTCCCAGGTATGGATCCATAGTGTCCATGTGTATTGGGCCCATTGGGGTAGCCCTATGACTTATTGGGACAATTGTCAATTTCTATTGTTATGGTACTATAGTGATGTCTATGTATACTTGTGGTGTTGCCATATGGATGTTGAGAGGCTGTCCAGCCTATGAGTGAAAGGGTCCCAGAGATTGATGGAAGATGGGGAGCCTCAATGGAGGGCTGCAAAAGTGGACCCTGGAGTCATTGAGTAAGAATTTCAGTATAACAAATTGAAAACTTACTGGGCATTTCTCCATCATGGCCTGGTTGTACACTCACATCCCTCAACTTCTGCTCCTGGACATTGATGTCTGCCTCCACTGTCTGGCATCTTGATGCCCATGGAACTCGCAGAGTGACCCCCTGATCCTCCTTGTTAGCTGGAATGACCACATCCGCCATGGACTTCTCTGGGATCTGGTTGGGGCCAGTGTATTGTTTGTTGGTGTAAACAGTGGTCTTGTTTGTGGGGATCAGATTGGTGGCATCGTTCTTGGTGGGGGGAGTTCAAGACCCAGTCTGGGCCAGAGTATTGGTCTTCACGGAAGCCCTGGCTGCCCGAGGACAAGGATGAGTGTCCATTGGGGTGCTTTGCCAGCAACAGCTGCAGCTGCCTTCAGCTGAGTCTTCACTGATGGGAGGAGGTCAATGGGGACTGATAGATCCTGCTTGTCAGTCTTCTTTGAAGTCGACTTTTTGGGCAGGGGATTGGAGGTGAGTCGATTTGCAGAGGAACTGGGGGTGTCCACAAAGCTACAGCCAATCTTCTTCACCTGGCATCTTTCGCAAGTGTTTCCCTTGGCTCCTGTTGCTGGAGTGCAAGATCCATCGACGATCCAGCATTGCTTG